GGAACTTAGAAAAAATGGGGTATACCGATGAATGTCCATTTTGTATCTGTGTATTCAAAGTGGATAGATATATAGTTGCATTCTCTTAATGAATAGAATGATTTGTTCTAATGGTGTTTGTAAATAGGATCACAAGTCTGCATCTTGTACAGCAATTAACCACTAAGAAGAATATATGCAGTGTTTTATTTGTTGAAACTGTACTTCCGATTTGATTTGAAACTGTCTCATTGCTGTTTATCAATAAAATTTTGAAAAAAAATAAAATAAAAATAAAAACAGTGATGTGGGTTTTCTTTATTTTTACCAATTTGGGGGAAAATGTTTTCTGGAAGTTTTTTTCCTTCATATTTTATTTAAATAGTGTCCTACATACAGAAAAACTGAAAGAATGGTACAGACAGCAAACACACACATATCCATCACTGAGACTGACAATTGCTAGTATGTTGCTCTCTTTCATTTGTTCTTACTGGGCCGGGGAGATGGCTCAGTGGAATAAGTGCTTCCCTGGCAAGTGCAAGGGCCTGAGTTCAATCCCCAGTTCCACCAAAAAAAAATAAATAAATAAATTTCATTTGTTCTTATCTCCATATCACTTTATTTTTCCCCATCATGATGGGGATTAAACCTAGAACCTTTACACTGAGCTATATGCCAACCCTTTATTTATTTATTGTTTATATTTTACTCTGAGTTGAGGTCTCATTAGGTTCCTAAATTTCCCAGGCTGGGTTTGAACTTTTGATCTTCCCACCTCAGCCTCCCCTCAGTTCTGGGATTACAGGTATGCCCCTTCACACCTGGCATGCTTTTGACTGTTTGTTTTTTAAATGTCCTTCTGGCTCATCCCTACTAGCATGAGAGACGGGATTTCTTTCCTTATGGCTGAGTCATTTTCCATCATGCATATCCCATATTCCCTTTATTCACCATGAACACCCACATGGATTGTTCTGGGGTTCTGAATGATGTTCACCCTGAGTCTATTGCAGCAGTGCAAAGCTGAGAACAAGATTAATTGGTGTCAACAGTGGGACAGCTAAACAGACATGGTGTTTGTGTCATGTCTTGAATCCTCCAAGACACGTGAAGAGGAGCACTCGGACTGGAAGCGCTTGAAGTGAAAAGAGTAAACAGGGGTGACGCACAATGTGACCTTGTCACGCATATAAAGTGAAAAGAAGCCGCACTCCTGCATGGGCGTGCGTGTTCCCGGCTGGAGGCTGGAGCTACTTTCTGTACATCAAGACGTGCTGCTGCTTTGTTTTCTTTACTGTCTGAGAAGACCCAGAAAACCACAAAGCTAACATAACATGCCACAAGCCCCGGTGCCACGGACCGTCACGATGTGGCTGTGCCGGTTCCGTCCTAAGTGCATTCATGTAATTCATGTACTACCCTACTAAATACAAAGCTCAGTTAAGGAGACCGGATTGCAATAGACTATGTGTTTTCCACACATTTATTTTAAATAACTTTTTTAAAATTTCACTTAAGGCTCTGTAAACTGGGGCCCACAAGCATAAGTAATGTGATTTGGAGGGAAATAGACATAGAACATCCTACTTAAAAGACAAATTATTTTCCTGTATGGTAAACAGTAAGAAAAAATATTGTCCAGAGGGCTGTTGAGATAGCTCAGCAGACTAGGCGCTTGCTTAGGCAACCACAGGGGCCAGGGTTTGATCCCTGGCACCGCATGTTGTGCTGGCCCCACACTCAGGTGCACTGAGCCTGCGATGGAGTCTGGGTGTGGTGGTGCACACTTGTAATCCCAGTGCTGGGATTACGGAAAACTGGGGGATCACTATGAGTTGGAGCTGTGTAATGAAACTGTGCACACACAAAAAAAATTTTTTAAAACTGTCCATTCTGTCTCCACTTACTAAATGGATGGATGTGTTTTCACGTGTGTTACCCAGAGTATGCTTCCTAGGTATTTAAGTCAAATCAAAAAACAAACCTGCTGTATCTACAAAGAATTTCAATAGCCTCCATTAACATCTGTAAAAATCAAGTTTACACTAAGATGCACTACAGAAAAGAAATTAAGATCCGCTTCCAGGCAACTGGGACAGCGCATGGCATCCAGGCCCCGCCGCTGGCGCCATCCAGGTAAGCAGAGCGCAGAGCTGAAAACCATCAGCCTCATTTTTCCGCATCAGCAACAGAGCCCGGAGAAACTGCTCACAGCCTTCTTCACCATATGTCACCACCACGTGACTGAGGCGCACAGTGGGCTGGACCCCGCAACTCGCCAGAGCAGATTCTCAGGGCAGGGGGCCAGCTCGGCGGTCTAAGCGCCTGCCTGGCAAGCGCAAGGACTGGGGTTCCATCCCTGGTACCGCATGCCATTCAGCCCTGAGCCGAGCTGGCTGCCAAAACCGGGCATGGTGGTGCCCGCCTGTAATCTCAGTGCTGGGGAGGCTGAGATAGGAGGATCACTTCGAGTCCAAGCTGTATATCAAGCCCTTCTATCTAATTAATGAATTTTTAAAAAGGAAACAAAGCAGATTCTCAGAATTAACTGGTTTCAAGTGAGGCAACGCTGTAGCAGTAAGGGGCGGCAAAGCTGGCCAGGAAGAGGGACCTGTCCACCTGAAGTCCCCAGGGCAGGGCCTGATGGCGGCCACCCCACACGGCAGCGCACCCCGCCCTGCTGTACTCTTGCTGCTTCATGTCCTTTCCTCTGTGTTCTGCCTCCTTTGCTCAGCAGAGCTGGTTCATCTCTTGCTCCTCCGTCTCTCACTTCCTGGCTAACTTCTGGCACTGTTCGGCTTGTCTCATCCCACTCTTTGTTGGAGACAAGGGCCTGGAACCCTGTGGCTTGGTGAGCCACTTCACAGGTGCTCCCCGACAGCGCTGTGGCGTGGCCAGCCAGAAAGCAGCAACAGCCACGCCGTGGTGGCCAGGCGGGAGCATGGCTCACAGTGGCCCAAGCGGCAGACGCGGGGCTGTTCCCAGGGTGGGGACGGAGGGGTGCAGACTCTGCTCTTCTTGGCGGC